AGAGTTCCAGAGAATTAATTTACTAAACATTGTTTTCACTTGTGAAATGTTAAATATAGCTAACCTATCACCAGGTGCCACTCTTTCTTCTCTGTAGGTTTCTTGTCAACAACAAGCATACGTGCTGCGGCAACTAAAATTTAATCTAAATGACACTGTTGACTCCATCAGCGAGCATTGTTAAGACAAATCTTATAGCTGGAATACATCACAAGTTGAGAAGCAAACTGGGTTATGATACGGATATGAGGAATCAGGTTTTGCAAACTTTGGACTTTAGACAAAAATCGCCGAATCAATTCAATTGTTACTAATGTGGTTTACTAAAAAGAAATTTTAAAAGGTTTAAGAAGCGCCGAGCGTTTCATTACGCCTACAAAAAAGCAGAGAGAACACACAATTTTTTTGTCTCAAAGATTATTTTCGCAAGGCAACATTCTTCAAAGCACTGGAAGAACATAACCTGTAGCTTGTTAGGGCTTCTGAGCTTAGGGTCCCAGCTGTTACAGAAAGATATTCTAGTATCAAAGAAAAATCCTACGCAGCCAAATGAAAAGGCAAAATGGTCTCCAAATGCTTGAAGAAAAGCATTTCTTTTAGTTTAATTTACTCCACAGAAGGCCATTTGATTATTTGACCCAGAATTCAGTAGTACTGGATGAATAATATATTTTATTATTTTGGAGCAGAAAAACTCTCCACTCTGTGTACTTCATAAGGCTACTTTTTTAGGATTAACATAGAGTCCTCCAAGAAATTTGTTTCCTGGTAAGAGCTTTGGTTCTAGTTAGGCCTAGCTCGGAAGCTTGACTCTGCCACTAACAAGTTATGTGACCCAAGATGTTCTCCTCTGGCTACTTACTGAACAAAGTAAGTAGAGGAAATGCATGTGGACCTTTCTTCAAGGTAAATCCATGCCTGCAACAGCAAGTTCTTTTTGGTAGGTAAGCGTATATAAATGCACGATTATGTTTCGTTAACCTGCAAGTTTGATCTGTTTAAAAACCTTGACAGGGGGCGCCTGGGTGGCTCAGTGGGTTAAGCCTCTGCCTTCGGTTCAGGTCATGGTCTCAGGGTCCTGGGATCGAGTCCCGCATCGGGCTCTCTGCTCAGCAGGGAGCCTGCTTCCTCCTCTCTCTCTGCCTGCCTCTCTGCCTACTTGTGATCTCTGTCTGTCAAAT